AAAAATAATTTTTGTATAATTACTGCTCTAAGTGGGTTGATCTGTCGGCTAAAAGCATGTTCTAGTGTCTCTATACTCCAGGAAACGATTAACCGATTACTAAATTAGTTGACGATTATTTCAATAATTGATTAATCATGATTAATCCAATTAATTGTTTCAGCCTGAGGGGCACCTCTGATAAAAGTGTTATTGAAATCCGTCAACAAATTTTTGAGATATCGTGTACACAGACAGACACACACACACAGTCTCCTAAAAACAAAACCTCTTTCGCGGAGGTAATAATGTTAACTTAGGGTTTTTTTGTTTTTGCTATCTTTACAGGTATTGGCGGCTTGACTTTCTTTACTTCCTCATTGCTTATCATGTTCTTAGCCACCTTTATGTAGCACAGCTTGGGGTTTTTCTTTGCGTTAAGCAAAATACCACCAAGCAGACCATGCGTCCCATGTCCCATGAGAATGATTGAAAGGAAACTATGTGGTTTCTTACCATCTCATTTACCTGTAATAAATTATTTACAATCAGAAATGTTATGAATACAATGCCATCATGACAAGTCGTTTTATTTACCCACGAATAATTTTTTTGCTATTCAGTATTTGCAAAACTTTGTAGCTTTTTCCTTTGGCAAAGCATAATTGCTAAGCCCTATGATACAAACTCACCCTATAACACGTTTTAAAAAAAAAATAAATGTTTCATGGATGATTTTTGCAAGATGACAATGACATTTCTTCATCTCCAAGGTGATTGACAACAAAGGTGTCTTATCTTATCTTAGTGAAACAATCTCTTAGTTTGTCTTTTGTTCATTGGCAACCATACTTAAAAACTGCACCCAACAAATGATAACATCTGTGGTAAATTACATGGCAATTTATTGCAGGTTGCAGAGAGTTGGTACAGATAATGAATCCCGAGGATGTTTATTTTTCAACAAGGTTGAAAGTGGTTACTGGAATTAACTTTCCAAGTCCCTAAAAAAGTGGTATCTAGAATAAATATGCAAAGACACCTTATTGAACTTTAAGGGCAACTTCTACCAAATTCAGCTTTTTTCTTTACAAATAAACCATATACATGGATTTCTTGGAATACTTTCTACCAGAGATGGGGGATCTGGAGTCACCAAGTCATTTCTATGTTTGTTCTACCCAGCCACTGAACCAAGTTATTCCAATCTGGTTTATTTATGTAAATTGAAGTGACTGGGTAGAACAGAAACATGACATAGAAATGACTTGTTTACTCAAGATCCCCTATCTCTGCTTTCTACATATCTAGGATAAATATATATATTTTTTTACAATTTATTGTACGCTTTGTTTCAGTTCTACTTTTGTATCTAAAGTTACCTTTTTGGGGCCCTCCTCGTGTTTGAGTGCACGGCATCTGATTATGACTCAGTATTGGATTTGTAAATGTACCAAGAAGAAATGACTTCTGTACATGCCAAAGTAACAAGTTGAAGTGAGTCTACACTGACACCAACTAACCCTTAGCATTTTGTCATTTTTAGCCAGATTACAAGTGAACTAGTTGATTTTTATCTACCAGTCTCCTATAAGAAAATGTCTTTTCAAACGTGTTAAAAACTAGCAAATGTAAAGCATTGAGGGAAGAGTTGCTGAATTAGGGCAAAGGTTTCATGAACATATTAATACTGAATTCAGCATTTAAAACAATTAAAGCATGACATGAGATAAATAATGTATCTTTCGCACCTGGAGAATACTAAATTGACAAAAGGATTCCTTTTTTTAAAGCTTACCATAAAATAACCAATAATTGACATGTAGGATATAATATCTAGGTAAAACTTACTTAAAGACTCTATAAGTTTTGAAATCACTGAAAAAGTTTATTTTGGACTTTAGAGGCCTATAAACATTCAGAAACATGTCTTGAACAGAGCCCTGTACTGTGAAAGTCAGATAATCAGAAGATTCAAATTTATCCAGGAAATCTTTTCTACACTGTAGTGAATCATTAAACAGAGTAACTATTAGCATTTTGTATTGCCAAAGATATGATGCCTGTATATACAATGTAGAAAAAAAAAAGTCCTATACAAATGCTCCATCCAGTGACGCCAAATATGAGGTACCAAGCCGAAAGCATTTTGGAGAGGTTTACCTGTGAAAAAGTAAAAAAGTTGTGTTTATTCCACAACAAGTAATTCATGCTCCCGTCGAACCATGAAGCCCTACAGAAGTTTGTACATCTTCTCACTGACTGCTGTATGCTGCCATGCGTCAGTCTACAAGCTACTTCCCTACTAACCACATTGAAGACCTAATGGACCATGGGTTACAAGATGCACTGCAGTCCTGAGACCTCACTAAAGACAGGCACGACTATGACTGCTGACAGCAGCAACATAATTAAGGCTCTGAGACTAAATGGGTTTAAGAAAAAAAAAACATAGATTAAAAGCATAAATCGGATGTATTTTATAAAAATCTGAGATTTTATTTTATCTTATTGTAAAATCATCAGGACTTTGCAATGGAGAATATCTTTACTAGCGGTATCTGCAGAGAAAAAAAAAAACAGATGACAGTGTTTCCCAAAGAAATAAATTACCAGACGGACTCAGTCTTATGTTGTCACTTGCAGGCGTCGGGGTGGCTACGCACTGGGGCTGCAACGTAGCTGCGTTCTATGGGATAAGAAAAAAAAAACATTCTAGCAACCTGTGATTTCGATCTTGAAAAACACAACCAGCTGGTGAGAAATCTTCAGGAACCTCCTTATAGCCAGTGTATCTCTGCCTTAAAAGGTCTTC